TAAAAAAGAACAAGAATTTACACGTTAAATTGAATGAGCACAACAATGGGCTAAAACCATCTTCATTAATTTGTTCTTAGGGGACACAATTATTCAGCTTTGTTTAATTCACAGACAGTGATGTCATTCTCACTGAAAGGCAAGCAGGTGTACACTGTATAACTATAATGGGATGTCGCTCAAAATCAAGTCAACATTATAAAATAATGTTAATTTTACCTATATCTCTATCAGTCTGTCATATCGCTCACATTTAAAAAAAAAAAAAAAGTTTTTATTACCATACATAGTTGCCAAAAACGAAATGATTCCCATATTTTTACACTGCAGAGGGTAGAAAACGGTATTCTACAGCCTCCAATTATTACTGAAAAGCATTTAGAGTTAGGCACATCTATGCTAACATATTCATGTTTTTTTTACACTTCAGGATACTGAATTTATTGTTAAACAGATACAGATAAAGTTCACAAATTATATTTTTCTTCACTATTTTGGGCCAGTTTTCTTTTTATAATAAAACAAAATCAGGAAATATTTATTAAACATTTACCACCAAATGAGGGCCCAAATTGTCCTGAAAAAAAAAACATGGTATAATCTAATTGGATAAAATAAGTAGTTGCGATGATATTTACAGTTTTACCAGCACATGTCAAATTGGCAAAATTGGGTTTGAGCATTAAATAATATGTTTCCCCAACATTTCATATTCCTAATATGTTCCTGTTTTACCATGTACTTGTGTTAAAAAGTATCCTGTTCTCTTTGCATTGCAAGTCCCCCTGCTTTCCCATTTCAAACTGACCACGTTAGGTATGGAAGCACATGCATTTCAACATGGTCAGTGTTCTGGTTGGTTGTGCTGGGAGAACAGCCTGCCTGTCCTCCAATGGCCATTTGTGCTGGCACACTGTTCTGCACAGCCATTCACTGGAAGATCATTGTACTATTTTTCTCCACCCTCACCTCTCCAAACCCCCTATGCAGCCGAGAAAAGAAAAGTAAAATGTTATATATGCACACACAAACAAAACGTATTGCCTTTCGTATTTTAAAATGAATGGGCTGCTTTACAAGTTAAGGGTTCACATATACTTTAAAGCAGAAGTCCAGTCAAGTACTAACTAAGCTTAAACCTAGGGGTGCCCCAAAATTTCAGTGGCTGAAACATTTCAGCCGAAAACACCCCTATCGGCCTTAGGCCGATATGAAAAAAAAAGCACTAATACAGGTGCCGAAAAACACCCAGCCCCTTCGCCGCTGCCACCCCTCTGCTCCGTAGTTCTCAGCCTTACCTGAGAAACCACCACGCGATCCCGGTGCTGGGCATAGAGATTAGTGAAGGAAAGTTGGCCTCCACTCATCTCTATGCCAGAGCGTTGTCACTTCTGGTTCTGGCCATATTTTTTTTTTTTATGTTAAAACACTAGATCAATGCTTTTTTTTTTTATCTAATGATTTACATTGCAGAGGAGAGATGTGGGGTCTTAGTGACCCCATATCTCTCTATAAAGAGGACCTGTCACGAATTTCTATCACAGGGGATGCATGCATTCCTTGTGATAAGAATAATAGTGATTAAAATTTTTTTTAAAGGGACTGTGCAAAAAAAAAAAAAAAAAAAATTGAATACAATTTTATTTAAAAGCGTAACGTGCCCGTCGACCCGTGCTTGCACGTAGTGGTGAATGCATACGTAGGCCACGCCCACATATGTAAACGGTGTTCAAACCACACACGTGAGGTATCGCCATGAACGTCGGAGCAAGAGCAATAATTCAAGCACTAGACCTCCTCTGTAATGTTACACTGCTAACCTGTAGACATTTTTAAAGAATCACCCATGGAGATTTTTAAGTACCACAGTCTGACGCCATTCCACGAGCATGCGCAATTTAAAGCGTGACATGTTGGGTATCCATTTACTCGCCGTAACATCCTCTTTCCTATTTTACAAAAAAATTGGGGTATAAATAGTTTATTTTTGTTTTTTTAATCAAAGTGTATTTTTTTATAAAAAAATATATATTCATTTTTAAAAACTGCGCATTTTCGGTTTTCGGCCAAGTGCAGTTTGAATTTTCGTTTTCGGCACCAGAATTTTCATTTCGGTGCACCTCTATGTAAACCTACTCCCACCCTCATTCTAAGCCCTAAACTAACTACCCTATAAAGGAAAAATGTGTCAACTTACCTATTCCCTGGGTGCTCTGGTCCAGTCAGATGATCTCCCCAGCAGCAGGCTTCACTGAAGAGGAGAGATTGCTGACAAAGGCTGTAGAGCCTATGTAGTGGCATCACCCATAGACTTACAGTGAGGCATCCGTTTTCAGCTGTCCCTCCTCTATACTGAAGCAGGCGTGGGAACTGATTAAGTGACCAAACTAGTGCACCCTTAGATTAGGTAAGTATACACATCTTTCCTTTACAGAGTAGTAGGAATACGGCTTAGGAATGGGGTGAGAGCAGGTTTAAGCATAGTTAGTTTTTGACTGGACTGCTACTTTAAAGTTTGTTTTGATCCTGGTTAATAAGGGGTTAAACTGGTGATACATAACATTACTCTAACAACTACAGTAATACCTCGGTTTACGAATTTAATTAGTTCTGCAGGACTTTTCAAATACCGAAAAACTTGCAAACCGAAACGCAGTTTCTCATAGGAATGCATTGAAAACCAATTAACCCGTTCCGGAGGTCAGAAAAAAGTAAACGCTACTAAAATACCGCATGAGTTATTTTATCAAGTCATGTGGTATTTTTCGTAGTGACAAAAATGTGTTAATGTTTCAGCTGTTAGCGGGGTTCCCCACTGACAGTTGAATGTAAAAGAATTGTTGGCAATTAAAAAAAAATAAATTAAAAAAAAAACAGTGTGGGGTCCCCCCTCCCATCCATACCAAGCCCTTTGGGTCTGGTATGGATTTTGAGGGGAACTCCCATGCCAAAATTAAAAAAAAAAAAAAAAAAAAAAAAAGGTGTGGGGGTCCCCCCTAAAATCCATACCAGACCCTTATCCGAGCATGCAGCCCGGCAGGTCAGAAAAGGGGGGGGGGGACGCGCGAGTGAGGGCATGTGGCCTGGTATGGTTCGGGGGGGGGTGGGGGTGCATGCTAGGATAAGGGTCTGGTATGGATTTGGGGGGGAACGCCCACGCCATTTTTTAAAAAATTTTGGTGTGGGAGTTCCCCTCAAAATCCATACAGACCCAAAGGGCTTGGTAAGGATGGAAGGGGGGACCCCACGCCGTTTTTTAAATTCATTATGGTGCCAGTTTTTTAAATGTAATTACCGGGTTTTTTTTTCTCTTCACTATAGCTCAGAAATTCAGCTGTCACTTTTCCCCCAGCTAAACAAAAGAAAGTTTTCTTTTAGTTTATTTCCCAGAGTTAAGAGAAACAATGTTTCCTTTTAGTTTCTTAAAAAGAAACAAAGTTTCCGTTAACTCAGGGGAAAGTGACAGCTAATTCTGTGACTATAGTGAACAGAAAAAACAGTAGTTCAGAAATGCAGCTGTCACTTTCCCCCTCCAGCAAAAAGAAAGTAAGTTTCTTTTAGTTTATTTCCCCAAGTTAAAAGAAACAATGTTTCCTTTCAGTTTCTTAAAAGATACAGTTTCCTGTAACTCCGGGAAAGTGACAGCTAATGTTGTGAGCTATAGTGAAGAAAAAAAAAAGCCGGCAATTGCATTAAAAAATCAGCACTGACATACACTTCGTATTGCGAAAAAATGTTTAAAAAAATTAGTAAACCGGGGCATTATTTTCAATGGCTTTTCATTCGTAAAACTGAAAATTATGTTATCCGAGGCGTTTGTATTATTAATTCAAATCAGATTTGCCTGCATGCTTACTTCATACAGATTCTCACAAAGTAAGTTTGCTGAAAAAACCATTCTGAATATGCAGTAATTCCTATTAACCCTTTTTCTGCTGATAGCATGGGGGTTTTACACCCAATTCGGTGACTGTAGCCACTGGAATTGTGTATAAAACCGACAAACAAACTCCTGCCTATTAGGTGAAAGCATTCGGGCAGCCAAGGTGCTGCCGAATTGCTTCCACACACCCACCGGTAATGGCGTTCCTCCACCATGTATTCTGGGCTCCACGTGCCCATCTGCAGGCTCGGACTGACAGTACGGTTGCCAGTGGGTGCAGGGGACCCTTGCTGTGACCTAGAAAGCGACGTGTATGACGTCACTTCCGGGTCACCCTGGTACTAGAAAAAGCCGGGGAGGAATGTATTGCAATGCGATCTGCATTGCAATACATTTAGTGAAGTACAGAGGACACATGCAATGTCTTAAGACCCTGCACGTCTCATTAAAAAGAGAACCTATTACCTGAAAATCATCAAATAGGGGAGTTTGTGTCCCCTATGTGACATAAAAAAAGTTAAGCAATAAAACTAATTTTTTTTTAATTGCAAAAAAAAAATAAAGTTACACCCCAATTTTTGATGGTGGCTACGAGTGAAAGCGTTGATTGCGATACACATGTTACAGAACGCCGTGAATGCCGGAGTGAGAGCAATAGTTTCTAGTACAAGACCTCCTTCGCAACACTACACTGAAGACCTGTAGGGGCTCTCTACCCTATAGAAAATATAGGGTATTGCAATTTGTCGTCAGTTCACAGGCGCACCTAAATTTAAGTTTTGAAATGTTGGGAATCGGTTTACTTTGACCAAAAATTTAGGTAACTTATTGTGTTTGTTTGCCCTAAAATTCACTATAGTGTGTGTTTTACTGAAATGTTTGCGTTTCTTAGACCTTTGTGGTAATATTGTGTGACATAAAAAATTGGACCATTATTTTATTCTCTAGAGCGTCTGCTTTCAGAAAATATATATTGTTTGGGGGTTTTGTGTGATCTTCAGGCCTAAAATAATTTTTTTAAACGTGTGCAAAAAATGCAAAAACCGCTGTGGCACCAAGAGGGTTAAACTCATTATTATTTGAAAAATAAAATTAAAATAAGTATGGAATCATACTTGCGTCTGCAGTTGTTTGAAAGAAGATATTTTTCCATCTTTGCTAACATTTTCAGTTTGTACTCTCGAAAATGTTTATTTTGGATCTCACTTAGCATGTGCCTTGAAGGAAAAAAAATATAATTAAAGAGATTCTCCAAGCATAGAAGAAAACATACAGGGTAACTGCACAGAATAAACTCTATACATGTAGTTATCATGCTTATTCTTTTTCTGTTGGTCACTTCAAACCTCTACTGTTCAGATACAAGGCTCTGACACAGCAAAGAAACAATCAGCAATTACATCAATTCATTCTAATAACTGCTAGCCCATAAAACATAAGAATACATTTCTTTGAACTAAAAATGTGTTACAATGATTAAGAAATATTCCCCTTATTGAATCCAAGTTGTACAACCCTTGGGGACCAACTGGCCAGCTCAAAGCCAATTTTCACCCAATTATGTTTTTTGTTTTGGATAGACAGATGTTTAGAACCCCTGGCAGGTGTTTATGGATGAGTATCCCAGTTGAGGAGACTATTTCACCTTACCTGTTTACAGAGACCAGTGGGAAGGAAAGTGTTGAGAAATATATATTCTATGGGGATTGATGAAGCCCTTATTTAGCAGACCGTAAAACATAAAAAATATTGGTCAGCTTTTTATTGATGTGAGTGCCTTTGTCTTCAATGACCACCATTCCCTCTTAACAGAGAAAAAAATTATTGAAAAATCTTTACGAGCGGCTGCAGCCAATGATTGAGAAAAGTTTTCCAATATTCCCGTTCAAAAGAAGTCGATTCTTAGATTTGACCAGACCTTACTGAACTAGCCAAATGTTGATCCATGTATGGCCATTCCCGATCAACTTCCGGAAATGCTTGAAACAATTTGCAGCAGTTGCTGCAACTGATCAGTGTATTCAGACAGCGGGGGGAGTCATTGTAAATTATTTCATTAAATTAACTGACGGACACAGGGCATCTATAACCTTCAGGTTACACTGTTTCCTACAGGAGTATTGCATACTGACAAAATATTTTTAAAAAAAACTGTACGCTAACCCAGGATAACCTCCCTCACTATTAGCATGCCTCAGTTTTGTAGCAAAGCAGTACAAAAAGCATTACCATAAACAGAGAGGGGTGGGATCTATGTATTTTTGTTTCTTATCAACTAAGGGACAAAGGAAGTCTGAAACCTTCAGGATGTTGAAAATTAGTCTGAGGGATGGGAAACACGGCAAATAAATAGGAAAAGGAAAACAACAACACAGAACTAGGGACTACCTGCAGCTCAAGAAGCCATTTAAAGGACCTTACGTTTGAAGCTGGCATCAGATAAAGCTGATATGTCCACTTGGGAGAACATGTATACATAAGATCAGGTAAAAGTCTTGGAAATCTGGATAAGAGTTGCTTGATTCCCATAAAGCTTAAGAGGAACTTATAGATCTAGTAAAACACACCTTGAAGATGGATGAAGGTGTCATCCATGACCACATGGCCTCTCTTCTCACACTGCAAGCTAAGGTGTACCTAATACCTAGAATCCACAGCTGAAGATGCAGAAAAGAGCAATAGACAAAATAACATCCACATCTTGGGGCTTCCAGAGGGTGCTAACCCACCAGTCTTCACATTTTCTCTATTCGCTTTTTCCTAATGCCTACTTCTTTGGCTTCAGTAGAAAGAATGTACTGCAGGTTGACAGTGCAGGGCCCTCCTGAAGCCCCTCCATGAACTTTTATGTTTAACCTGCTTAATTTCAGAGATCATGATCTGCTTCTCAAGGAGGCAAACTCCGTTATGAGATTCCAAAGCTTATATTCTTCCTCAACTATTCTGTCAATGCCCAGCAGTTACAGCATTCTTTTGATGTAAAGGCCAAGCTCTGAGGGTGTCTCGTACAGTACGGTTCCCAGCTAAGCTACAAGGACCAGAATGGCAAGACATTACGTTTTTCACCTCAGCAAAAGAAGAAGCAATGTGGCTGGAGATGGCAAGGAGCCACTGATTAGCACTCACTGACCTCCTGCAAACTCACCCTATACTTAACTGGGGCTCTCTTTGTGACTCTGAACAATCCTCCTTCCTCCAAGATGTGCTTTACTTCTTTTAATGTGTCTTGTCCCTCCTTAGTTAAAGCACCAACACGGACTATGTCTGCCATCTTTAGGCACAAGTGCTTAGCGCCTGGATAATGCTGGATCTGTTATAGAGAGACTGCAACGTAGGTACTATGGTCCTTGCTGGGTTGCCACATTCTCATTTGAACAGTAATACTGTGAGACCTACCCTACCCGGTGAATGTAGGATGAGCATACTTACGTTAACCGAGCTGCTTGTTGCACCAAGTTGCTACTAAGAATTGCATCCTCGGTGTTATCTGAGAAATTCATACCAACAGTTTCTTGAAATGGCATTCATTCTGTTATTCTACTGCACTAAACTGTTTCCCTTTGCCTTGTACACCAACCCTCAAGGCATGTTGCCATATTCTCTTTTGGGTCTTCTCCACTCTGATTGGGGTGGGGGACTGGATGGGGAGGGGGTTTTATTTTGCGGTTTGTTATGTTTGTTGGCTATAGTTGCTCATCTACCCTTGATGTCCCTTGCTAAGGTACAATTGACCATGGCACCTGCTGTGCATTTTGTATGTGATTTGGTATCCAGCCTGAGTGAACATTCCCACTTTTCCTATTTTATTATTTTGCTAACCAATGCCTGCTATTAATTGTATCTCATAGAATGTTAGGGGATTGGATTTCCCAGTAAAGCGTTCCCTGGTCTTTCAATTTCCTAGAATCCATCGCCTGTACATTTGTATACTGCAAGAAACCCACCTCCTGGGTTTTTGCCAATGCCTTGGCCAGGAGAGTAGAATATTTGCATTAAAGAAGGCTTGGGTGGACCACAATTACAATTCTATCTACTCCTCATATTCTAGAGGAGTCAGTATTCTATTTACAAATCCTTGCTGTTCTAATTGCTTCTCCTCAGACTGGACTGGCGCCGCCATTATTACGGAGTCATGTCAGAGCTTACTGAGCTTCAAAGAGGGCAAATTGTTGATGCATGCTTAGCTGGTGCACCTGTGACTGAAGCTGCCATTTTATTTGCAGTGCACCGAGGTACAGTATCAAAGGTTATGACGGCATATACAGTTTCCAGGAAAAAGTTGCCTGATAAGCATAAGCGTGGCTGACCTGGTCAACTTGACTGAAAGAAACAGAAGGACATCGCGCAGGATTGTGACCCGAGATAAGAAAACAACTGCTGCAAACGTGACTGCAGAGCTCAATCTCTGTCCTGTGAAGACTGAAGTCAGTCTTCCTAAAAGAAGCTGTGGCTGGGAGATACACTATCAAAACACTGTCAACCGTAAAATCAGTATTTTTACTGCAACCCCCGTGGTAGCTTCCGAAAGTGCTCTGCAGCTAACTTTTACCAGAATGGGGTCTGAAAGCCTGCCTATGCAGAACCCAGTGGCAGAAGGTAAATTCCAGTCTATCCACACAACTTCCACTTAAAGAGGCATCTGGGTGGATGACTGCGCTGGGGAGCTGCAATCAAAAGAGACCAAGCTCTAGCCATTATGTAGAACAGAGCATTCATTGATGAAAAAAAAAAAAAAAAAAAAAAATCAAAAAGGTGCTAACATTTTTAACACAACATAGCTACAGAAAAGATGTCCATCCTTCCAGGTCACTAGACAAAAAGTCATGCTGGTGGTAGAAGCAGTTACCCAGGGATGGCGTAGGTAGTTTCCCACGCCTCAACTGTGATTTTGTCATCCTGAAAATTAAATACTTCCTGTGTCCCCAATAGCTGAGATACAAACAGTAATTTTACCTTGACGGTAAATTTCCTATCTTGGGGTACAGTACAGGACACAAGACTTGTATTCATAGACCATGGATTATAACCAGGCTACCTTCAGATGACTGGACACTGGCTAAAAAAAACAAACAAAAAAACTTGCAATAACAACCCCTAGTGCACACAACCCTGCCCGCTCTGTGAGAATCCAGATTTTTTTTTTTTTTTTTTTTTAGCAAAAAGGAGTCATTAAGACACAGACAAGAGAAGTGAGGCCTGTGTCTTGTACAGTGCTCCAGAATAAGGAATTTACAGACAAGTTAAAATTCCTATAATCTTAATGGTAATTATACAGTACAGGACTTGTATTCCTAGACCATGGGATGTCCCAATGCACCAAAAGGAGGGGGGGGGGGGGGGGTAGCAACATAGCAAACACAACTGCTAACGGTCACACACAGAAAACAATACTTAAGGAACCCAAAAACACTCAGATGACAGCTTATGGCCAAGGCTTGCATTAGTTGAAGCCTGAAGTCCTACTGTGTAGAACCCAGTGAACTAAGGACTGGATGGAAGCCTTGCAAATCTGAAGTACAGATGCTTGATGTTAAAAAGCCCAAAATACACCAACAGCCCTTGTGGAATGAGCTCTGATGGGAAAGGAAGGAACCCCTTTCTTAGAGGCATAGACCTAGGAAATATCTGGCAATAGTGGAGCGGGAAGCAGGATGCATGTTACAAGGATATACAGATAGAACGAAGATGAACTCAGTTTTGAGAACAGTGCTTTGTTAGACAGACCACAACAGCCCTGACCACATCCAAGCAGTGTGCAATCAATTCCTTCTCATGTTTTGAGAAGGTCAGAGAGAAGGGAGAAGTATGTCCCCATTGAAGTGGAATGAACAAACCACTTTAGGTAAAAAGAAGTGCTAACTCAGAAATGTGCCTAACAAAAGTTGGCAGACAAGGTTCTTGCTGAGGAGTACTTCAGAAGAGCACTGTCCAGATACCTTATGAATGCCCTTGGTCTGCAGAAGAATAAAAAGCAGGGCAAGCACTTTTGTGAACACTCGGATTGTAAAGAAGAACTCGAGTGGTAGTACAACAAACTAGAAGTGTTGGTCTCCCACAGCAAAATGCAGAAAGAATTTATGTAGAGGGAAAACAGGTACAGCTAGGTCCATATATATATTTAAACACATGCACAATTTTCGTTTTTTTCAGGTATTTTCCAAAACATTTTCAAGCTATAGTTATATAATGGATATGGGCTGAAAGTGCACACTCTCAG